GGGGAGGGGGGGGGGGCTATGAGGAGTGGGGGGTGGCACCCCCCCCCACCCCACCTGAGCCCCCCACAGTCCCCCCTTCCGATAGTCCGGCATATCTGATAATCCGGCACCCCCTGGGTCCTAAAGGCGCCGGATTATCATATGTTTAATGTAATCATTACCTTTATAATTTTTCCTTCCCAAACATGTTCTATTCAAAAAGATGATGACAACAATACAATTTAGGTCCTGATCCTGCAACTTGCTTTGCTTGGGCAGCCTGCAGGAGATCTCAGGCAAGCATAGCAGACTGGCTGTTTGCAACATAATGCAGTATTGAGGCCTGAGACTGCAAGAGTTTTGGGCAGGAACTGTCTTTTTTATATATATGTACAGTGCCTAGCACATTGGGGCTCTCACATGTATTGGGAATTCTAGGAACTATCACAATACAAATAATAGCTTGTAGCACTATATAAATAAGCAGAAAAACTCTCACAGGTTTTGATAGGGTCAAATTTCACCAATAGTATCCCAAAAGCCATAGGCCCAAATTAAAAAAAAAAGAATTAGGTGCCTAACTCCAAAGACTCCTAAATCTCTTTTAAAAATCTGGGCATAAGTGACTCAGGGTGTGAAGTCAGATTTCAAAAGTGACATTAGGACCAAAATTTAAAGGGTATTAAAGTGCCTAAAGATGCAGCCATGTACTTGATAGGATCTTCAAAAACACCTTGGTGTCTTACTCCCACTGAAACCAGAATACAGAGTCAAAGCTGTGCTGGAGGAAGAGGGAAAGATGTGAAGACAGATGAGACTCTCAGGCTATATCTAGACTACAGGGTTTTTCTGGGATACTGGAGCTACCCTGGAAAAACTCTGCTGCAACATTTTTTGTGGAAGAGCAGACGCGCTCTTTCGGAAGCCCCATCTTCCTTGTGCCACGAGGAAGAAGGGCTCCTCTGAACGAGATTTTTCTGAAATTTGGGCCAGCGTAGATGGGCCAAATTTTGGAAAAGCCTCTTTCGACAAAACTATTGGAAAAAGGTACAAAAATTGTACAATTTGCATACCTTTTTCAGATAAAAAGTGGCAGTGTAGACATAGCCTCAGATTCTGAGAGAGAGAGAGAAAGACAGAAAGAATGCATGCACATGTTTCTTTAACTTAAAATAAATTATTATTTACTTTTGGTTTAGTTAACGGTACAACCTCATGAGTACAGGCAGTCCCCGAGTTACGCGGATCCGACTTATGTCGGATCCGCACTTACGAATGGGGCTTTTCTTTCCCCGGAACTCGTGGGCGGCGGGACCACCCAGATGCGCAGTGATCCCGCCACCACGTCCTCCGGGGCGAGAAAAGCTGCTCCGGGTGTTCCTGGTCTGCTGGGGGGGGTCCCCAACAGACCAGGGACACCCCGAGCAAAGCCTTGGAGGCGCGGGACCCCGCCACCTCTGCGGCTTTGCTCCGGGTGTCCCTGGTCTGCTCGGGGTGTTCCTGGTCTGCTGGGAGGGGTCCCCAGCAGACCAGGGACACCCGGAGCAGCTTTTCTCACCCCGGAGGATGCGGTGGCGGGACCACTGTGCGTCTGGGGGGTCCCACCACCCGCGAGTTCCGGGGCGAGGAAAGGCCCGTTCGTAA